CAATAATTTTATTTTGGTTTAATAAGGAAAATGCCCATCTTAAAGAACCAAGTATTTACTTCTTGAGCTCTGGTTCGTTTCTCATTCCTTAATTGACTATTCTTAGGAGCGTTAGACCTGTATCCTTCACTTATGAAGTCACTCATAGTACTTATCTCATGGGGATTTATTATTCGTCCTCTTCAGTACTTTATTTGATTTATGTGTGGTATCCACGTGTTGAAGGTCTAATATGTTGTTGTAAGAGAATGGCAATCTTGTGGTAGTGGCATCGGGATGTCATGGATTTGATATTACAAACCCATCAATAGTCGTGTGAAGACAACTGACAAGTGTCTAGTTTTAAGGCTTATTTTTCCTACTTCTTATGTTGGCCACTAGATAATGGAACCAAACTAACTTGACTGAATTTGGTAATGTTTTCTGAACACAATAAATATGGGAGCTGTTGAAAGGAGTTCTTCCCTGTTAGGAGCTTTATTGAATAATTGAACTAAATAAAGTATTGGTTTTTGTTTATAGTAAATCATGGATCGGAATGTGTGACATATAACTTGATTGTGTATGTTACCACAAAAGTTTTCCTCCCTGATTATGGGACTAATACATTCTAAAAAATGATTGAAATTTGGACTTCCTCTATATGTTAGAGAGGTGTATTGCAATCTTGACTCTGTTGTCAAATGTGTTACATCGCCTTTGCAAAATTGCATTTTCTCTTTGGTGCTTTGAGTCCCTAAGTCTGAGAAGCCTTGCCAACCTATTAAACCCTCCTGTCCAAGCATTTGAAAACTTCATTATACTTGTGTAGGATCACCTTATGTTTTTCCTACGTCATTCATGGTTGGAGTGGGTCGCTAATTGAGCCAAAGGATGCTAGTCTATCTTCTGCTTTGTTGCCTTCTCTGTAAGTATTTATGAATTGTACATCTGTGAAGGTTGAGCTGATCACCTTGGTTTAGGCAATCAATTGCCTAAGTTTAGCATGAGAAAGATTGGTTAGATTACCCCATTCGGTTGCAACCTTGAATCATTACATTACACCATTCAGTGGCAACCTTGAATCTGGTTCAACCATGAGGAGGATGAGGTTGTTTTGGTAAGCAATTGTAGCTCCTTGTGTATGGATTTTAGTTCTGCGTTGTTATAGGATCCATTTGGTATCTCAGGAAGCTAGATCTGCTTGCATAAATGGTCTTTAAAGACCCAACCAAATACAGAACATGAGGGACAAACCGCTCTGTCTATATTTTGTTTATTACAAAGATGAGGGGATGGCTGCCATGTCACTTCTGGTGACTTTGGCGCTTCAATGGTTTGATGGGTGGGAGTCCAATTGGTTGGATGGCGCTTCTCATATCTTTGGTACTGCACATCTTGTGCATGTGAGGGGTCACATGTAAGTTGCCCAGGGGTGCAAGGGGTGATCCACAAGTCATCGCTTTAAGCAAGCTCGTTTGGTTTCTCCTTTGGCTTTCAAAAGCTCTTATGTTTCACTCTTGCCTGGCTGTCAATGTAACTGATGGGAGCATTGTTGTCCACATGGTTCACAAGTTTATGCTTTTGTATATATTTTGCACCATCCCTTGATAAATGAATGGAGCATGGTGGACTGCAAATGTGTGAGAGTTGAAACGTAGCATTACGAAAATCTCCCTAGTGATTGATTGAAAGGACACCTCATCAAGGGATGTTGATGGTTCTTGGCATCTCTCTTGAATAGGTTGCAGCAGTTCATAGTTTACACCTGTTTTGCTGAAATTTGTCTGTGGTGAGAAGCTTCTGTTGATGGCCCAACTGAGAGTGCCATGATTCTCGGGGCTGTATGGGGCTTTCAAATCACTGCCAGAGTCTTGTTCTTTGCTTCCTTGTTGTACAGTAGGTAATGCATGCTACTGGTTGCTGTCCAGGTCAGTTGATATTTACATACTGTTTTTCCGATAGAGTTCCTAGATTACATCAGTTTAGGGGTGCTAGTTGGGTCCGATTGATCCATCCATGTCTAGGTTTGGACCGAACCTAGATCCGGCAGGTTGGGTGTGGGTTGAGCCTGGATCTATCTGGGTATGGGTTTGGCTTGCCCCCCTCAGAACCTACCCAGTCATATGTATACAAGTGGGGGGGACCTGGCAGATCCATTGGGTCCACCCTACCTGGGTCCGCGGTGCCTTGAACTTGATCGTTGGATCTAATGGAGTTTGACCTAGTTGTGTCTGGACCCTTGACTCAGCGGGTTGGGTCACCCTGGCTTGGGTGGACCAAACCTGTATCTGAACTGTTTACAGCCTTTGGCTAGTTGCTGGAAGCAGTCTCCATTTGTCTTTGTGCTAGAATTGTAATGCTTTGAGCTTGTTCCCAAGCCCAAGGTCTCTTAGGATCTCTTCCTTGTGTGCTAGTATTACTGCCCCCTCTTGCAGCCATAGATTGCAGTGGAAGTCTACCTTTTGAGCACCAAGTCAGAGAAGGAAAGCAGCCAGAAAGAAAGCCAAGTCAAGCAGGAAATCACCAAGTCGGATTAACCCCCCAAATTCATTGACAATGGTCTTGAATGATTGGGAAGGTT